TTGGCAAGCAAGATAATTAGCTATAAAGTCTTCGATCAAACTGCCATACCTACAGACCACAAACAAATCACTATAGTTTTTGATTGGTTTAAGTACAAACCTGACAGAATCTTCTTCTCAATCAGTACCTTCCAGTTTTATCAAGCAACAAAAGAACAAGTCCAATTGATGTAGGAAGACATAGAACTTGCCCTCGTCACAATAGACAACATCTCCTGGAAAGCCCTCAACCTGGTTATAAAGCAAGCTATAGAATCTAATATCCCAAAACAAAAGCAACAAAATCATACCCACGCAAATAAAGCTCTTGCTAGGTACACAAATGCAATAAAGTTAATCAAAAAATCAATCAACAATCTCAAACACAATCAGAATCAATCAAAGCTATATCCCTTGGCTGATGAAGCAATAAAAAAACTTTCTAATAACCCTTTGACAATTAAGACTCTGAGAAAAGCTCAAAGAGTCCTCCTCAAAGAAAAAATGTTTAGAGCTAAACAGATAGTAATGGATGAAATCTAAACCAGCATAGAAAAAAACTACTACAGATTCTGAGCGAAATCAAAGGTATCTCTTAAAAAAGCTCTAGAAGATCTCAAACCATCTCTGGATCTATCAATACTATCCAAAGAAGATCAATTGTACGATGACTCAAATGAATTAAGCAAAATCATCTCTGACCATTTCAGAAGCATCTTAACACAAAAACCTTTTGAAATAAAGGAGGAGTGGGCAGAATACTACAATTCCATCCCAAGCATCAATAACACAATCTATTCAAACACACTTAGCATTATAATCCCAGAAGAAGTGAAGAATGCTCTTAATGATTTTTCAAAAAAGAAGGCACCAGGCTTCTCTCTAATCCCATATAAATTATGAAAAAACCTGGGGGGAAAAGCCCTTAAGTTGATAGTCAAACTATTTAACAAAGTCCTTGAAACATTGCGACCCCCACATCACTGGAAACAGTCAGCAATACTCCTGCTTCCCAAAAAAATAGTATGGTCACATGAACTAACTGATACCCATCCAATCTTTCTCATAGAATCAAGTAGGAAAATCTTTAAAAAATTATAAACAAAAGACTTACTCAACCCTTACTTCAACATAATATCCTCTCTGGTTGCAACTTCACTGGACTCAAGAACCAAAGTACAATGGAATCAATTACAATTGCACTCTCAAAAGTGAACAAGCCAAAAACCTCAACCAAGAACTTTGGATCGCCTTCTTTGACATCTCAAAGGTATTCGATTCAATCAATCTTGACAGCCTTCATTATGCCCTCAACAGAGTCAAAATACCTACCAAGATCTCACAGCTTATCCTGAATCTCCTAATGGAAAGAGAGCTCAAAATTATCACACACTATGATCTGACAAACCCTTTAAAAATCAATAATGGCATTGACCAGGGAGAGACCCTAGCTCTCATCCTATGGATGATTTTCTATGACCCAATAGTTACTAGAATCTCAAGCAGTTCTGATCCCTCATCAGCAATACTTGCATATATGGATGATGTGACTCTCATAAGCCAACGCATCCACACTCTTCAAAAAATGACAAACACATTCTGCTCCTTTCTTAAACTAAACTCAATTAAGTGCAATAAAAAAAAACTGATCTAATTAACAACATTAAGACCAGGAGTCGGCATACAAATCAAATCTTAATGGTCGAAGGGGAGCCCATCAGCCCCAAATCTTATAAAGAAGCAATCAAATATCTAGGAATCTATCTCTCCAGATACTCATCAGCAAAGACAACTAAAAACAAACTCAAAGAGAAAATAGACAAATTCACAAAAGCAATTGCTAATCAGAAGGGATAGAACAGCACCATCACCAAACAAGCATCTCATTGGATTATCCCTGCACAACTAGACTATACAACATAAATCTCAGTTTTAAGTAATAACAAATGCTCACAACTCCAATCAAAAATGGCTAGAGCCATTAAGCAAAAACTAGGAGTCGAATGGACCCTCTCCAACAAAGTTCTCCACTCTCACGCAGGCTTGGACATTATAATTCTACAAGACAGAAGAGACCTTGTAGCAGTCAAACTTCTTATTGCCAAACTGTCCAACAAAAAAACTATTCTAGATATTAAACTAAAAATTTATTCCATCCAATCTTACATGCAATTTGATACTGTCCAATATGCAATCCACAATACTTTGAGGACTCATAAATAGTTATAGCTGTACTGATCGCTAAGAGATAAAACATTAATATATGTTCACACTCTTGCCCTTTTAACCTTAAGAACTACGAACACTCCATCGGTCTCATTACAAAAATGTCTAAATCTACAGTTTTGACAATCTCTAAATCACAAATTTGTACTATTCAAAATCTCTTGGTCTTTAATTAACCACTTAAACTAATATGGGATGAGCTTCATATGTACAGAGAAATGGTAGTCCATGGTAGAATTTCACCATGGTTCAGTAGAATTCAAATTAGTGACAGCTCAATAATTGGAGACACCTTACCCAAACCACACCCTAGACCAATGTTCTGGGCATACTTATCGAACAACAATTTAAACTTCATAAGAGTCAGGAAAAACGTTATCCATACAGATCCAGTTAGAGGTCTTTACTATCTCATCGATACTAACTCAAAACAATTGATCCCTTGCTACTGTAACAGAACTCCCTGCACAATAACAAAAAACATTTCTGAATTAAACTCCTCCTGGACTACCAAAAAGCTGGGACATTACCACCTTCTCAACAACATTCTAGAGCTAAAAGAGTCATTAGCGATATACCCTTCAACCAACTTATAACCAGGTATTCTGATTCAGCCCAAAATCCAAAGGGCACCCTTGAATATAAGTATCTCATAAGTTAGAAATCAATTAGTCATTCAGGAATTACCTACGACCTATTCATATAACTTCAAACTCAATTTTTAGACAAGCTTTTGACTTGTCATAAAGGAAACAATAAAGAATAGCCCTCCTAATTCCTCAGTATTTATCTCACTGTGCCACCTCCCTGTTCTAACAATTCCTGAGTACTCCAATAGACAAGTTAAAACACCATTCAGCAAATACATTAAAAATATAAGTCAGCTTTTCCAGAAAAACAACATCTCTATTTCATGGACCAGAAAAAAGAAAAACAAGGATGTCAATGGTTCCCTAATATCTAATGCTAATATCGTACAGCCCCTATCTACCCTTCTTCAACGCATGAACCCTCACCTCTAATTAATCAATTTCATGCCACCAGCACAGTGCACTGGATCAAGTTCGTAACTTACTGCTCCAATCTTTTCAACCTTCTCTTAAGCCAGTCATCTATATATAAACTTCAAACTCTTGAACAAATAGAAACTATTATCAAGTCAAATAAAAAAATCAATAATAGGGACCAAGTCAGATATAGAGCCCTAGCAACCTTCAGAATCAAACTCATTGCCAACCAGCTTTCAACCAGAGCAAAACTTCACAAAAAATATTCAGAGCTGTATGACAGTGACCTCTGTCCTCAGTGTGATGCATATCCAGAAACTCTAGAACATATCTTCTCTTGCTATCATGTACGTACTTACATAAATAGTAAAAATGGCAAACTTACCAGTCTAATTTCACAACACCTAGATAAGGCTTTTCTACCAGGAAATCAAGCCCTCTATATTGACCTCTCCAGCTCTAACATATTCAATCTCTCTTTAGGCATCTTTCAGCCTCCCCTTGACATTATAAAAGATAAATCAGACATCTCAAATAAAGCATTAAAAGTCTTATACAAGATCTGGAAACAAAGATCTGACACTGCCTCAACCTCAACATCCTTAGGGGTTAAGTGGAAAAAAACAAAAGCAATAACAGATCCAGCAGTGACAAAAGGTATCAACAACAATACAGTCTTTGTCAAAATCTTAAATACTTTAGAAAACAATAATAACTATACTGACAAAATAATTTTCACACCAGCAGTTATCTCATCATTCTGAGTGGGCATTATCTATTCGGCATCAGTGTTGTGGACACACCTTCTGGATATAAGTTGGCATAACTGGTTTAGTCGCAATAGGATACAATTAATTTGTATTTATATAAATCAAAGATTGTTAATATAATGGCATCAAACTATTGTTTAATAAAAAGCCTCACATTTAAATGCCATTTGCAAAAAAAAAAAACTTTTTATTTATAAAATTTTATATAAATTTTCATTGAATTATAAAAAGTAAAAAAATTTTTAGTAAATTTCCATACTGATTTTATATAGTAAATATATAATAAAAAATTTATAAATCAATTTTATAAGTAATTTTTTTAGAATTTAAATAAAAAATTTAATATAAAATAATAT